TAACAAAAAGGCCCACCTGAACTCCAAGGCCGCATTTCACATTTCACAAAAAAGGACTCACACCCGCCTATCTGAGGCACAGTGACCTCCTGAGGTCCGAGACTTTCCCTAATAACCACTGCCACCCCCCCGCCCCTGCCCTGGGCTCTCGGCTGGTGAAACGCCCGGAAGCCTGGTGGGCATAATTCACTAAGGGGAACACCCCCCTCATGGCCCAACCATGTCTCTGTAATGCACACCAGGTCTGCTCTACCCTCTTGTATGAGGTCGTAAATGAGGGGAGCCTTATGTACCATGAACCTGGCGTTAAGCAACACCAGCCAGAGACCAGGGTCCTGTAATCCCAAGCACTCAGGGGTGTGAGAAGGGTGATGAAGGTCAGAACGCGCAATCACTCTTAAACAGCGTCTCCGCGTCCCCCGAACATAATTTGGCCCTCGACTCCCACCATATGCCTCTCTCCCACAAACAGTAGAGATGGTGAACCCCCCAATGGAATGGCTTAATGTCTCCCCCGGAATCCCAACCCCTCCCAGAATTCCTGACCCACGCCCATTAGTTAGCTCTGGCCTGTACTCTGGCAGACTCCCCCCCAAGCCTGTCTGAGCAATCTGTATCAACCCCCGCCCCCCCTTAAAATTTGATTTTAAAACCCCTGTTAACCCCTGTTTAAAAACCCTAAGAAGTCTCTTCTTCGCATGCCACTTCTCGGGATCCCAAGATCCATCATTAAGGAAGCGTCTTGATAGGCAAGAAGGCCATCCCTGGGAAAGGGGGCATTCCCGAAGGTCCCTAAGATATTCTCACAAGCATCATAGGGTTGTGATAAAAATAATATAGTTTTAAATATGAAAATACTCCATGAATGGGTAGACAAATCAATATTTCCCAATGTAAAGTTATCAAAAATGTATTGGTATTACTGTTCCCATAGATCCCAGCCAGTATAATCAGTGGGAATTCTAGATAGCATTTCCAGTGCATCTGTAGGCCAGGTTAGTACCATTTGATATTTGACATACAGTTTTTTTAGTGTTGGTCACTTCCCTTGGCCTCATCAAAGGTAAATCTAACCAGTATAACCATCACAGAGTAGGTGTAAACAGTTTCCCTCCACAGGATTAGACTAGATTGCTATTGTGATCCTTTCCAACTTTACAATCCTATGTTAAGATCTGAAATCCATCTAGAAACGGATGGATTGGGCAAATCTGGCATTCACTAATCCATGAAAGCATGGATCCTTTATGAAAGCAAAATCTCACTGTTACATAAACAAATTGGAAATAATGAGGGATGGATGTTATGGGACTTTAATGTAATTTCATCCCAGAAGAAGTCAGGCTATGAAAATAGAGCTGACAATTTATAGTAGTTTTAGAGATGGCAGTGCAAAAATATTTAAAAAACAATAAAATGCAGAGGGGTCTTCCAGAATGTGTGCTTAGCAACATGAAATTGAACTAAGTCCCATGCTGGTTGCTTGATGCCATCACTGCATGCTCCCCGTCATGCTCTATCCAATTCCCTTCTTGTTGTAATTGTAAAGTTTTGGTAAACTCCTATTTTGAATCAGCAAGTCTCAGGACAGAGGAGGAACAATTTGAAATATCTTGTGCAGGATACGCTGCAGAGCCATTCCTGGATATAGTTGGCTCACCGCACTTCCCAGCCTCTGATACCTGCCCAGGCAAAGAAGCCTAAATATTGATTGGTCATAAGAGGGGGTATGCTGTCCTGGTGAACCAACAAGAGGTTTACAATAGAAGATAATATATGTAGCTTGGAACTGAACTGTGAAGTCCTTGGTTTTTTGCTTGCAGATATTTTTAGATAACATGTTCATTTAGATCAGTGGTTCTCAACCTGTGGGTCAGGACCCCTTTGGGGGTCGAACAACCCTTTCACAGGAGTCGCCTAAGACCATTGGAACAGACATATTTTTGATGATCTTAGGAACCGAGATACCAATTTTATGGTTGGGGGTCACCACAACATGAGGAACTGTATTAAAGGATCGCAGCATTGGGAAGGTCGAGAACCACCGATTTAGATAAAATGTTCAGTTTACAGTTGTATTTTGTTTTCCTTTTGAAGAAGTTGAAGTTTGATGGGGAAAAAAAGATAAAAATGAGAAATTATTCACGGGCCTGCAGAGAACTAAATCAGCTGAAATGTTTCTGAGCCAGGAACACAAATTTTGACTCGCTGATGTCTATAGATTCATCACCTTTCTATAAGCCCAACCTACCTCACCTATTTAGGGGGGAAGTGGAAGAAGGAATGCTATACATGCCTCCTTGAGCTTCTAAACACAAAGCAGATGTAACCCTGATAAATATGCACAGGTTTGATCCTATGACATATAATAACCTTAAATAGTGAGAATGGACTATTTATCCTGTTTGGTTTTATTTTTTTGTATTCAGAAGATCTGGGTGATAGAAAGAAAAAGTGAGTTTTCTGAAAGTGCTTTTAAATTAGCACACCTGTTTTTATGTTTCACATTTAACTCACTGCTACATTTAGTCTAAACATCACTTCTGTCAGTCCTGTAAGACATCATGAAGAAATGTAGAATCGTGCCAAACTGCAAATTGCTTCAAACATCATTTTGAAATTGGAGATTGAACCCCATGAATTTTGGAAACTGAATTCCACCAAAATTGAAACTTCCAGGAAACTATTCCAGCAATTATAGGTGCTTCTTGGCAAGAGTTTTCCTTTACAGTTTTCCTTTGCCCCAACAGTCTTAAAAAGATTTCCAGTTTGTTTGTTGTCCCTCTGATTCATGTATAACTTCCATGTATGGCCACATTTCTGATAAATAATATGATGCGAACAACTTTAAAAAAATTAAAGAGGTGACCTATAACAAGTTGGGCTTCTCCCAACTGGTCTGAGTAGGCATCACACAGCATTGCAAGTTTTTCATTCTTTGGAGAAACAAAGTAATGTGATAAACTGAAAATGTTCCCAGACAATATTTGGGATATTTTATTTTAATAAGGACCACTTAATTTGTTCTTTGGCAGATTGCAGCACCTACAAAGAAGCAAAAGGAGAAAGATATGAGAACCATTTCTTTTATCTGACATTCTGCTCAAAGAACGGGCATAACTCATCTACTTCTTTTGCAGAAAATCTCCTGCCAACATTGTTGACTCATCTGTTATGTACAAGAGTGTTCAGCCATGCTAAAATTCATCTGGAAGGTTCACCTGGGTGTTTCTTAATTTAACTGCCTCAAGACAAGTGGGCCACTGAGAGATTAGGACTCCAGCTCTGCTCTCTTTAATGATGGGAGCTCTAATTCAGTGTATCGGAACAGCATCAGGTTGGAAAAGTCTGGTGTAGATCAACATCAGGCAAGGGCTGTCACTTCATAGGATGTACTATGGGTAAGGCCAGTTATGCTTGCTCAGCATTTAGTTTGTTAATGAAAATGGGATTACTCATTTCAGCACTACATTATTTGCTGCCATTGCTTTGCCCTTAAAAAAAAAATCTATTGATGAGATTTGTTCTTAAATGTTTGGTTTTATACTGTCCTCAGGCCGTTATTTGAAAGGCATTATAAAAATAGTTCAATAAACCAGCCAGCCATTCAGCATGTTCATTTTTATGAACTCTGCAGACAATAGGATTAAATCATTGACTAAGATTGGCAAATTGCCAGTTAGAGAAGTTGCTACCAAAAACATTCTGATGATATTGTCCAGCAAGTCCCTCTAATCTCCCAAAACCCACCCTTCCTCAATACATAAACTTAATCCTGGTGAAACTTGATGCAAATTAAGTTTTTGAGGTTTTTTTTTTTCAAATCAAGCCTGTGAAAGGGGAAATATTGTTAAAAAATTGAAAGAATTCCCTAGATCCGTGATGGCGAATCTATGGCACATATGCCAGAGGTGGCACGCAGAGTCCTCTCTACTGGCATCATGCCATCGCCCCAGATCAGATCTCCATGGCGTTTCTTTCGTGAGCTTCTGTTTCCCTGCAAACAACAAAACAGAAGCTCACGAAAGGAAAGGAATCTTATCTCTTGCTGCACTGCCGGTGTTTGGAAGCTCTGCCTCCCACCAGCCAACTGGTCTTCGGGTCTCTTCCGCACATGCGCACTTGTCTGCTTATGAGCACGTTTGTGCATGTCAGTGCATGTGCATGCATGCCTGTGTATGTGCATGCTTGCGCATACACATGCATGCATACGTTTCAGTTTGGGCATAGTTGCGTGTGCAGTTTGGGCACTCGTTCGCCATCACTGCCCTATATTATCTGATCCTAAATCTTCTGAACACTAGATGGCAGACATCTCTTTTAAATGAACCAGCAACACTGACCAGAAAGGAAGTTCATTGAATGAAAAAGTAGGTTTGGGGCAATTGCAATATTTTGTGGATAAAAATATATTTTGACACACTGCCTACACTTATGCTATTCTTTTTAGTTGTTCATTTATAGTCTATTAAATCTTCATCACAAAATTTAGTCTTGATCCAAAAGCTGATGATTTAAATGATTTATTTTACAGGATCCCAAACAGCTCTAAAAAAAGATTCTTAACACAAGTCTACAGGAGTGTTTCTGGCCCAGAGCAACAGAAAGAGCTCTGGAGCTTGCATTGAGCTTAAGAAACCAGGACACAATTAATTCATGTGCCCAAATGCTGTGCTCAACTCATTTACTTTTTGATTCTTTTATTCATTAGCCCAACCTTGTAGGAGGTTATCTGAGGAAAAGTAAAAAATCTAGTCTTGTATTAAATAGCTTTGAAGAAGCCACTACACATCTAAACATAATTTTGGAGGAATTCTTAAATGGGATGTAATCCAAATTAATTTTAAATAATTTCATAATCCCTTGATTTCTGCAAAACTGAACACATTGAGCATTTTTTCAGGGAAAGTAAACACTTTCAAAGAGCTTATTTTGTTTAATTTGTTTGCTTGTGCTAATTGAGATTTTAATTGGTTTAATATTTCACTCTATCTTTACGATGATTTCTGGGAAATGTACTTCTATGAAGAAAGCACTGATTATTAAACAGAAAATTTTACGATTCTACCAAACTACGTCTTAAAGGTAATACCCACATTATGAGCATTCCCTTAGCGAACATTCAAAGTTACATGATAAGCACCCCCTAGCACTTACGAACAAATCCCCAAATTACTAATATTGCAGCACCAGGGCAGTTGTTCGCTCTTATGAATGACCACAGACCACTCTGCAATGTTTGCCCTGCAAATCCCCCCCCCCCCCGCCAGGTCTTCAAAAGTACTTCACCTTTGGTGACTCTCTTATCTTGCAAAGATCTCCTCTCACGGTTTCTTTGCCTGCTTCATTGCTTCAGGCTTTCAAAGGATTCATAAAGAACAGAGGTCTAACATACCATGAGACCATGCAAGATCAGTAGTGCGAGATCTGGTGCTACTGATCTTATGTGATCTCACACTTTAGTCATCTATTCTCTGCAAATTGAGGCCTTGATATTTGCAAATGTAGGTAAGGCTTCGGTACTTCAGGCCTTCCCTCCGTTTGCCATTTTCTTGCCAGGAGATTGCATTCCTGCAGGTTTCAGCAGCCTGTTGCAAAAAGCTTTTGTTGGGCGGATGCCTCCCTCTGAAGCTCTGTTCCTACTGGCAAAGGCTTTTTGAAAAGGGTTGCCAAAACCTACAAGGATGCAACACTCAAGTGCTTTGCTGACAAGAAAAAAGACCTGAAGGGGGGCGCGTTCCTCCAGGTCTCCTTTTTCATCGCTGAAGACCGTCTTAAGCAGTTTGTTGGTGAGAAAGAAGATCTGGAAGGGCACATGCAGCCCTCTGGGTCCCTTTTTTCATAGCAGAAGTCTTCTTCAAGCTCTTTGCTGAAAAGAAAGGAGGGAACAGGCAAAGAAACAGGCTGGAGGAGACAGATCTTCATAAGGTAAGTCACCCGCGCAGCAGGATGGGGGGAGCAATTGTGGGGACCCCAGGGGAGGGAGAATGAGGCATCTGTGGATCGAGGGAGACCTTGGGTGATCTGAACCAGCTGGCCTGTTCCATCACTAGCCCCTCCATAGCCTTTCCCACACTGAGATACCTCATGTGCATTAAAGAACCATGGATTCGATTAGCAAATGCATGGGCGAAAGCAGGGAGTGATCTCGTTCAAGATACCAGATTCACTCCTATGAGTCCTTCGGTTACAAATGGAATGGGCACGCTCCATTTCATTTGTAAGTCTAAGACTACCTGTAATTACGATTAATGGATACAAAATCCATTTCAAAGTGTTGTCTGCAGCTGAGCTGAAGTTGTGGTTAGACATACTGCATAAAAACTGTTTTTCTTCAGAAATATATTTGCCTCCCTAGATTTTGGCATTTATTCAGAACAGACTATAAAGCATAAAAAATATTATCTGAGTCATTGGCAGGAAACATTGACTTACTGTAGTTTTGATTTGGATTTCTGATATTATAAGTTGCAAAGCCTGATTAATTACATAGATTGCTAACTTGGGCATTTAGAGGATCGCAAAGGGGCCAATGAAAATCATATATTTCAAAATTGTGACGTAAGTAGTGTGCAATATAAGAATGCAAATACAAAAGTCACACAATTTCCATTGAGACACCATGATATACCTATTATTTTTGCCCTATTGCAATGTGTCCTAAATGCATATGATTACTAGAGAGCAAAGCAACAATACTCCTGCTATCATTTTATTAGATTCATAATGTTTTCAAATGCACTTCCTTTATAATAAGTAGATAAGCATTACCCTGGTTGCATAATCCCTGGCTATTTTGCCCCAATGCTGCAGAGCAGAGAAATAAGAGCTACAAAGAAATGATGAATAATATGCATGTAAAATTAGTGCAAGGAGATATAAGAAACTTAAACTGTCCTGAACAAGGTTTTATTTTATTGTGAAAAATATCACAGATAATTTAAAAATATATGCAGGATCAGGCCTGACTATGAGACCATTAGGGAATAGGCTATTGGATGGACTGGGACGTCAAAAAGCATCCCATAAGAAAGCATCTAATGACATTTGTGTTGTTGCCAAGAAAGCAGCATGGATCATCTGTGTCACTTCCAGGAGTTGGGTTCAGCTTGAGGGAATCTTTACTTTTTACCTCGCACAATACAGGAGTCCAACTTACAACCATTCTTTTAATGTGCATTTGAAGTTACAATATTGGAAATAAAGGTACTCATACTATTGACCATCACAGCATTCCTATATTGACATGATCCAAAATTTGGGCTCCTTTACATCTGGCATATAATTACAACAATTGCAGCATCCGGGAGTCACATAGTGACTATTTGCAACTTTCCAGCAGGCTTCCCACAAGCAAAATAAAAGGCCATAGCTGGATTTACTTAATGACCACTTATGGTCATTATGATTCACTTAACCATGCAATGATTTGCTTAGCAACCAAAAAAAGGTTGTAAAAGTAGATGTAACTCACTTCACAAATGCCTTGTTTTGCAATGGAAATTCTGATACTAATTGTGGTCATCAGTCAAGAACTATATACTGAGAGTCACTCACTTTTTCTAACCTAATGTCCTTTTAGGTGTTTTTGGACCTCAGGTCCTGGAATAATGTCTATTTACAGATAGGCAACTTGAAGCAACAGAAAAAAGAGTGATATTTGGCTTCATGTTTAGTATCTAATAGTATTTCTGAACACAAGATCATGGATAATTAATAAATGCAGGCAATGTGCAAAGGTATATATAAGAATCTTGCTTTTATAATTTTTATAAGGATGAAACAAGGAAACTGAGCACATGCCTCTGATTATTTTTTGTTTTTTTCACTTGAAAATTTTCAGATTTATATTATAAAGGCAAGCAATATTTGTACTAGGCTTCATAAAAGTAAAGGTTCCCCTTGCATATATATGCTAGTTGTTCCCGACTCTAGGGAGTGGTGCTCATCTCTATTTCAAAGCCAAAGAGTCTGTGCTGTCAGAAGACGTCTCCGTGATCATGTGGCTGGCAAAGGCGCACGGAACGCTGTTACTTTCCCACCAAAAATGTTACTTGCATTTTTACATGCTTTAAAATTGCTAGGTTAGCAGAAGCTGGGACAAGTAACGTCAGATCACTCCGTTTCATACAAAACAGCAAAAGATACAGTATATATCTTGATAAATGGTTAGTTAATCAAATGCTGCTTCACTCTTTACTAAACTAAGTCAGCATCGTCCATGCACAACATGGAAGCATTAACAGATTTATGGACATCTCAAGTTTGGCAAAACTACAGGTAGTCCTTGACTTAAGACCACAATTGAGCCCAAAATTTCTGTTGCTAAATGAGACATTTGTTAAGTAAGTTTTGCCCCATTTTATGAGCTTTCTTGATACAGTTGTTAAATGAATGGCTGAGGTTGTTAAATTAGTAACACAGTTGTTAAGTGAATCTGGCTTCCTCATTGACTTTGCTTATCAGAAGTTTGCCAAAGATGATCAGATGACCCCAGATATCTGGGCAACCATGATAAGTATGAATGAGTTGCCAGGCCTCTCAATTTTGATCACATGATCATAGGGATGCTGCAACGATCATCAGTGTGAAAGACAAGTGATAAGTCACTTTTTTCAATGCTATTGTAACTTCGAACTGTCACTAAGTGAACTTTTGTAAGTCTAGGACTATCTGTGCCTATTTTTTAAGAAAATGAACACAGAGGATAGAATTTTTAAATGAAAATGGAACACAGCCCTGTTATCTTTTAAAAAGGCATTTCCTGGCTGGCCTCCAGAGAACATAATTCATGTAGTGACATTTTGTCACAGATTCCACTTATCTGACTAAGCCACCAACTCTATCACGTTTGAGAAAGCAATGTCTTTCTGCAGAAGCTAAACTTCAGATGATTCGAGCAGTCTTACCTGAGTGACACTGTGCTCTGCTAAAGAGCTGTCATCCACCTAAAATAGGAAAAGAGATTCAGATAGTTAAGGAAGATAAAGATTAGCCAGGAGAGAGATAAATAGAATGCTGATAGCTAAGTCAAGAAATCCATAAAAATAAATAAGGCTTATTTAAAAAGGAGAGAGTCTTGACTAAATGGATTTGAGGGGGAGAAAAGACACAAAGCCAATATATATTGACAATTCAGCAAACAAATAATGAATTTGAGAAGCAAATTGCTAATGACGCAAAGACAAAGAGATGGTTCTTGATTTAGTCATAGAATTTTTTCCATTTAGAGTTAGTCATACTTAGAGTATATCCATTAAAATCAATGACTTCTGAATTATTAATGATTAACTTATATCCTACTGAGTCCAATGAGTCTAGTCTAAATATGCCTAAATCTGGAGCCAATGTCATAAAATTGTCTTGCAGTATGCAATATAATATCCAACTAGATAGCAATGTCTAGCCAACTTTGGTTGATTTTGAAAAGCTAAGCGGGTGGAATCTGATTAATACTTGTATGGAAGTCCATCAGGAAATGCCACCAAGAAAGATTCAAGAGTGTCTGCCTCCATGAAATATTATTGTTTGTGGGAATGTGCCTCAGAGACCTCCAATCTCCAATTTTCACATCTAAGTTTTCAGAGACAAAAATTCTGTTCAGAAGGAGAATATCCACCATCAAAAAACCTCTTCTGACTCATCCAGGGCCGCTAAGTCATGTTCATTCTAATTCGACATCAGAGGAAACTGAAATTAAGCATGCTAGGAAAGAAACCACAGCTTCTCTGGATTTAATGCTTTCCAAACTCAGGGGAGAGATTTGTAAAATACAGAGATGGCCTACGGGATTTCTCTTTCTCACATGAAAACAAAACCCCCTATATCTATTGTTGCTGAAGCTACATCAACAAGCATGCAAATGTATGAGAGATTCAAATCACAAGAGCCTCTAGGGTAAATTCTAGGAAGTTGTGCTCATATATGAGAAGAAATAACGATTGTGAAATTGTATGGACAAAGGCTATAAAGATGGACATCTTAAGCAATGATCAATTAAATCAGATGGAATATAAATATAACTTATACTAATTGACAATTTGCAAATTAATTATCTGGGGAAAGAGTATGCTGACAAATATTTTTAAAATTATCAGTTGGGGCATCTAAAACTAATATGGAAAATTAAAGTCAAATCTCCTTCAGGTCAAGCTTGACACCTGATGACTTCCTATGCATTCTTGACAACTAGAAGAAATGGTTTATTATTATTATTTCAAATGTCCCTGTTAATTTTCTCAAATATGTTTTATTTTCATTTCATACAGTCACATATACAGGGCGGGGCATAACCTTTTCCTAGGGGGTCACAGCAACACTTGTAATAACAACACAAATAATTCATACA